TCAATTTCCTAGCTAGTGAAGCTGTGTGAGCATGTGTTTGTTCATGTGAAGTGGGAAAACATGTTTCTCCGACAGGCTGAAGGGTGTGGAGTAGAACAGTGAAGGTTCCTGAATTAAAATGAGACAAAAGAATGACTACATACCACAATGTGCTACCAACAAACACTGCGCTGTCTAGATATGATCCCCTGTTTGCTCCAAGTAGCTTCCTGTTAGAAGCACAATATGGCTTTATGCAGTCATTTACAGGAAGTATTGTGGATGCAAATCTTCTGGATTGGCTTGCTATGGCTGTCTAATTTTCACACTATGCCGTCCACATGACTACAGTGGAATACACTGAACGCATGCTGGACAACTATTGCTTGTACTGTACACTATGTGAGGGGAAAAGCTGCAGTCCACAGCCATGCTAGAGCTAACTGCTCTCATGCTAACATGCAAACGATGATAATGCTAGCATGTTTATATTTAGCTAAGTTGAGGTTGGAAGTTTGCTGCTATTTATAAAGCAAAGTATGAACTGTAAATGTAAATAAACACATTGAAATGTGAGGGGATCAAAGTTTACAATTCATCCTCTGGGGACCATGAGTGTCTGGAGCCAAATTTTTACAGCAAATCATCTAAAAAAAATAAAATTAATAAAATACAAAAACTATATTTTTAAAAATTGCAATCAATTAAAAAATTTAATTTTTTTTTTAAACAGTAGTTATTGTTCAAATGCATACGGTATTCTGTTCGATTCATTCAAAGACTGATATTTGAACGTCTCTTCCTTTCTGGTATTCCAGGTTTGTCAAATTGTTGTGTGAATGTTTTCTGCATGTACCTACATGCAACTGTGTGCTAGACCTGTTCATCTAAAGCTCAGTCACTTTTATTGTCTTCAGCTTGCAGCAGAAGTCTTCAAGGGGAGGAGGAATGTTTTCGTACCTGGACTGTTGGCCACTGAGTCAAAGTGGCAGTTGGCTAGCATGAGATGCTGCGCACCGCCCTTAGGCTCCAGCCTCACAGCAATGTTGGTGACACGGTCATAGAAGCTGGTGAAGCCTCCAAGAAAGTCAATGGAGAAAGAGCCGGTGGGACGCTGCACATCCACCGTGAGCTGATGGGGGCCGGCTGCGGTCTCAACACGGATTTTCTCAATCTGCTCCAACAGGTAGCCCACTGTCAGGACTTCATTCTCCGGGCTGCCCACTGGCCGAGGGCCGACGCTGGTGATCTGCTCCAAGTGCCGTCTACATTGTGAGGCGAGGAAAGATTGAAAAGAGAGAAAGGGAATACTGTGATTCGGTTCAACTGTGAAGGGGCAATAAACCAAGCCTGCTTGTTCCAACAAATTTCTCCCCCNNNATTCTGATTCACAACATTACAGAGTTTCTGTAGGACTATAGCTACTGACAGTAAATCATTGTATGCATGTTCATACGTGAGGTTATAATCCACAACTTTCTTTTTTAAACCACCATGAGGTTTTGAAACTTAACGTAGATTAAATACATTTTCTGTGGGTGTGCTTGCTGACATGGTTGCAGACACACAGTTTGAGCATTTTTGTGTGATAGAAAGGTCTCTTCTAAATGCACCATACATGAGAGTGGACACTTAAGTGCTATGCTTACTGACGCTTAAATGATTAGCTGAAGCGAAACCAGATTCAAGTTCAGATATCTCTCTATACTACAGAGTCTATAGAGTCTATAGACTCTGCTTATGGACTCGTCTTGAATGTCAATGCGTTAAAACACTTTCTCGTCTCAGGCACTCATAGCTGGTTCATAAGCAGAGAATCTCTTTTTTAATTTTTAAAGAGCTGAGACAAACAAATATGCAAGACTCATTTATATAAGACAGTGAATGGGGTACAGGCTGTGATGACTGTAAGAATATGTGTTTCTTGTGTATGTATATTTGTTTTATGTTTTATACAGGTTAGCAATGCTACAGCATACAAACAGAATCCCATTCACTGTATATGGAGGAACTTACTCAATTCAATTTTAATAACTGATTATTCATTTAACTAATTTTACTAGCAAAAAAGACAAAAAGTGTTGTGATTCCAGCACCTCAAATGTGAAGATCTTTAGCTTAGTAAGCTTATTATGTTTATGCGACATGAAATATATATCATTTTCAAAAATGCGCAGTGGCACTGTGTTCCCAACAGTGTTCCCGAATTGGCGACTTTCTCTCTAGATTTAGCGACTTTTCAGACC